TCCGAAACTCGGTCGTCAATGCGGCCTCAACTAATTCCAACCTTTTTAATGAACATTTGTCTCGTTCTGATTCGGGAAACGAATGACCTCTGAGCGAAGTCGTGTTCAGAGGCAACAGGTTTGGGATTCTTTCGGGATAAATCTGGCAACAAGGCCATCTAAAATTGAAATCTTACAGGCTAAGGATAGAATGGATAGCAAACCATTTTTAATAGATGCCTTTATAAATGATCATTTTTATCTCTCAGCTCTTTTTGACTCCGGCTGCCTTCCATATGCTGCATTTAGTGAAGAGACTGTTAAAAAAAGAAACCTGCCACGCATTCTTGTAGAACCTAGAGAGCTTAAGCTTGCGAAAGATGATGATAAAAGCTACAAAATTAACTATATTACGTTCGTTACTTTAGATATTAGCGGCCGAAAAGAAAGATTATGGGGATACATAATCCACGGATTACACTATGATCTAATCCTCGGTAAAGGCTGGGCCGAAAGAAATAACGCTGTCTACCAAGCAGGAGACCATGTCTTGCATATTGGTCAAGGACATCAGAAAGTGAAGATTTACGAAAGTACCGAGAGTAGCAGTGACCAAGCTGAAGAATTAACAAAATATATAAGAGAAGCTAAATTAGTGTCTGCGCATGTATTTTCTGCCCTTACAAGGCGCGCGCGTAACAATAAGGAAGAACTTGTCCTTGCATCTGTCACCATATCGGACATAAATAAAGCGTTAGAAAAACTAAGTGAAACGCGTGTCAGACCTACTGTTGAATCAATCCGTGGGTTACTTCCTGGACAACTGCATGGGCTCGAAGAGGTTTTCCTAGAAGATAGCTCAAGTGACCTGCCCCCTCATCGACCTGGACACGATATGGAAATTGACCTCGAAAAAGATAATAAAAATATTGAAAAGAAACCGCCGTATGGGCCTCTTTATGAAATGTCAAGAGAAGAATTGTTAGTTCTTCGCAAAACTTTAGCAGATCTCCTAGATAAGGGATGGATACGCGCGAGTGCTTCACCTGCTAGTTCACCGGTATTGTTTGCCAAAAAGCCCTCTGGTGGCCTGCGGTTTTGCGTTGACTACCGCGGTCTTAACGCTATTACAAAAAAAGACCGTTACCCTCTACCGCTCATCCGAGAGACCCTACGCCAACTATCTAAAGCACGTTGGTTCACTAAAATAGATGTGCGCGCAGCATTCCACAGATTGCGAATCAAGGAAGGGGACGAATGGAAAACAGCCTTCCGTACCAGACAAGGTCTTTTTGAATGGCTAGTATGCCCCTTTGGTCTTTGTGGAGCGCCTTCAACATTTCAAAGGTTTATTAATAATACTTTGCGCGAGTATCTGGACATCTTTTGTTCTGCATACTTAGACGATGTGATAATCTATACTGACGGAGACCTGCAAGACCATTATGGTAAAGTCCGTAAAGTTATTGGCGCTTTAAAAATTGCGGGTCTACGCATGGACATTGACAAATGTGCTTTTGGCGTTAAAGAAATAAAATACTTGGGTTTCATCATTGAAATCGGTAATGGCATTAAGGTAGATCCGGAAAAGGTATCTGCTATAACCAAGTGGGAAGAGCCAGAAACTGTGTCAGCTGTTCGTTCTTTTTTAGGGTTCGCGAATTTCTACCGCGAATTCATCCATAATTTCTCTGCCATTTGTGAACCTTTAAATAACCTCACCAAAAACGGTGCAGCTTGGGTATGGGAAGAGCCCCAAAGAAAATCTTTCGATAAGTTGAAAGGACTGTTAATTACCGCACCTGTCCTCAAAATGTTTGATCCAGAGGCGGAGACAATTTTGGAAGCAGACTCATCTGGGTATGCCATAGGGGGCGTAGTCTCACAGATGGATGAAAAACGCCGCCTCCGGCCAGTGGGTTTTTTTTTCAAGGAAGCTCACCGCAGCTGAATCCAACTACGAGATTCACGACAAAGAACTGCTAGCTATTCTATCAACAATTAAACACTTTCGAGGTGAGCTACGCAGTGTCAGTACTCCTTTCCTTGTCCTTTCTGACCATCGTAACCTTCGTTATTTCATGTCAACTAGGCAGTTGTCCAAGCGTCAAGTTCGCTGGGCAGAAGAACTTTCCAACTACAATTTCGAAATTAAATTTAGACCAGGAATAGAATCAACTAAACCAGACCTGCTGTCAAGAAAGACAGAATTTAAGCCAAAAGATTTTAACGATGAAAGATTGAAAAGGAGAGAGTTCCAACTCCTTAAACATAGATGGGTCTCACCGTTAGCTAAAGAAGAGCCACCTATCCACTTAAATCTTTCGGTAATGGAAACTAGGAGACGGGCAAAAGCCAGTATAATTCAATTGCCAAACCAAGATCTGAAACCTATTGGCCAGGCGCCGCCATTGTCGAGAGTTACGGTCGTTGAAGGACCTCCTAAGGGAAAAGATATCTTCGACGAAATACATATTCAAAAATTATGGGATCAAGCAACGAAAATGGATCCATCCTTTAAAATAATTTATTCCAGCGTTGCTAAAGAAGATCGCTCCCTACCCTCTTCAGTAGGAAATTCTATACAAATGCCAGATTGTACCTTCGATGATAAATTTGCCTTAACTTACCGTGGAGCTCTGTGGGTCCCAGACTGGGAACCCCTCCGTACAGCATTAATACAACGAGTGCATGATTCCCATGTGACTGGTCACCCGGGGCGCGAAGTGACATTGTCTATTTTCGCACGGAGCTTCTTTTGGCCTCAACAGTACAAGGATGTAAGGAGATTTGTACGAAACTGTCATGTCTGCGGGAGATCTAAAGTTTGGCGCCAGTCGTCTCAAGGACTATTACGACCTCTGCCCATACCAGACCGTTTTCATAGTGAACTAGCACTAGACTTTATGACAGAACTCCCTTTAACAGACAAAAATGAAAGATTTCTTATGGTCATACACGATCGCCTGTTAGGAGGCGCCACACTAGAGGCAATGGAAACCATGGAGGCTGAAAAATGCGCTGAGCGTTTTGTAATAAGCCATTGGAGATACCATGGATTTCCAAATTCGTTAACCTCAGATAGAGGCTCTAATTGGGTCGGCCGTTTTTGGCAGCGGCTTTGCCAGCTTGTGGGTATCCAACAACGCCTCTCCACAGCTTTTCACCCCCGAACCGATGGAGGGACTGAAAGAATGAACCAGGAAGTTCTAACTTACCTACGTGCCTATATCTCATATGCCCAAAATGACTGGGCTAAACTCCTCCCTTCTGCTATGGTGGCGATTAACAATAGGGACAGCTCCAAAACTGGCTTTAGTCCTTTCTTTTTGACCCATGGTTACCACCTCGACCCTATCCAACGTCGAGCCCCTCAATCCGGCTCCACTAAAGACCCAAAATCCAGAGCTAATGCTTTCGTGAATCGACTCTACGATGGTCAAGAACTTGCTAAGGCAGCCATGGCAACTGCACAGCAAATTATGGAACACAATGCCAATAAAGGAAGAAAACCAGCTGAGATTTTAAAAGTCGGGGACAAAGTCTGGCTGAACCTCAAGAACGTTACAACTCCACCACATAAAAAGAAGTTCTCTTGGACAAATGCCAAATACAAAATTACAAGAGTTGTGGCTCCAGATGTCTACGAACTTGATGTCCCTAGCGGCATTCACCCGAGATTCTTTGTGGACCTCCTCCGTCGGGATCCTGATGATCCCCTACCCTCTCAAATTACAGACGACAGCCAGCCCCCGCCACTGCTTGACGGAAAACATCCTCTTTACGCCGTTGACAAAATCTTAAGAGCTGAGAAATTTAATGGTAAAAGGCTACTATGTGTAAAATACAAAGACTATAAAGAAACATCCTGGGAGCCGCGAGAAAATTTCGTTCTAACAGACGCTTTCCGCGACTTCGTCCAACAGTACGGGGAGGGTGATAATGTAGGTGATCCAGATACAGGTAGCTATACGGGATCCCGAGGCAAAAATAAAAACAAGAGAATATCTGGAAAGAAAAAAACGACTTGAAACTTCAGAGCCGAGAGGAGAGAGGTGATGTTACGGGTCCACAACTAATGTCGATCCCTCGCATATTAGCGCGCACTTGGCATATGTGTAGAACGTGTTTTCCCTCTGTATTTACCTCTCATTCTTCATAGAGAATCTGAATAGACTACTTTCCCTCGTTTGATTGACTAAATCACGACCTGTTTCGTGACAGATTCTCAGGGGCCAAGGAAAAGAGCCGGGAGAAAGGATTATTTCTCATATGGCTAAAGTGGGGAGTTAATACTAGCGTACACGGAAGACATAAAGGACAGGATACGATACGGTAGTTTAGCTTCACCAAGGAAAAATTATTCATACCATTGAGTTATCGACTTCAAGTACTTCTGACTTTTTTAAACCTTTTACATTCTGCGCATAATTCGAGATGAACATCACTTGTCTTGAAACAGGTCTCTGTCCTGCTATCTACCCACTATTTCTAGCTGCAACCAAGCCAACACTCCGAAATAGCACAACATTACCGATAAGATATATATAATTGCCATGAATTTGTGATCTATAACTATACATCATCTGCCTCTACAAAATCATTATTCAAGGATTGAGTATCTAAATTATGTAGTACAGGTTCCCAATTCACACAATCACTCTCGTTTTATATTGCTCATTATTCCACAGGACTTCATAAAGCGTAAAAATACCATGAAGGAATGATTTATATGGATCTTAAGCTTCCATGAGTCAGGTTTGCTCTCGGATATTGTATTGGTTACAGCAATATCATTCCGAATAGCAATACGATGCTAACTTCACATATTTTAACCACCTTCTCCTCGACTCCTGCACATTTAAGTTTCCAGAAGCCAGCTTCATTCCAATCTTTACTCCGCTGAGTTTATTCTCCATTCCACTTCTTGACCTGAAATAAATCGAGCTCATAGAAAATTAAGTGTGAGTTTTCAGATAAAATGTATATCTTGTCCTAAAGTTAATCTAGGCGAGAACAATATGAAGTTCCTACATCTTACCGGAATTATTGTGCTGCTAAGTCAAGCAGCATCAATTTCTGCTGCCACACTGGTCCCAAGGATGGAAAGTGATTCAGAGCCATTTGATAGCCTATATCCCGAAATCATAGCCGCTATCGATAAAACACTAAGGGAAAAAACTTCTCCACTGAAATCGCCAAATGATTATGTAAAAAGACTTGCTCGAAAGTTCAGAGTCCCATTCCTAATTCCCGTTCAAGTTAGTGCTGAATGGCATAACGAAAGTAAGAAGTCAATCCTAGCTTTTGGTAACATGAAAATTGAATTACCCATAGAATATGAAAGTTACATCGCCAATGATAGAATGGATAAACTTAACCTCTGGGTAGTTGTTGAAAATGGGGAGTGCATCATTACAAAATTGGTTGATAGGTATGTAGCCCAACCTGGGGCTTAAACCGTTACAGTTCTTGGAGCAAATGCTGGAGAAGAGAAGTTTAGTTGCTATGTGAAGTTTGCACCACTTCATGGTACTGTAGCTACATAATTGTAAGGATTCCTCTTCCGATCTGTGAGGATTCCCTGTTTCATTCTTAATTTAGTATATATTTTTAGCCTTCTTCCAAGCGGCTATGACAATACCGTAGCTCTTGGCACTGGGTACTCTTTTTCTTTTTAAAAAAATCATTTAAGTGTCTTCAGCTATGGAGCTATGACACATGACCGGTGCTATGTAAACATGTTGGATGACTCTTTTGACGTTTGAGACAATCATACTCTGGATTTCATTCGCAAATACCAATATGAGGTATGCTTGCTTACACAAACAGTCGACCCTCCTCCGCAAGTACCCACCAAAGGGAATTTCAAGACCTTTGATTATCCAAGCATGCCTCTGTCATCCATGCATACCAGCGCCGCGAGAAATGTGGTTTTGTTTTGCCGGATTCGAACCAGCGATCAACTGTCTCAAGTGGGATATTTGTCCAAGCTATCCAGACTCTACTTGGCAGACCGGCCATGACGATGTACCACCGCACCATCCAGCCATAGCGGTGTTTATAGTGTCGCCTACTTTCTCGCAACCGAAGTCTGGGCACGCACAAAACTCAATTTTTAAAAATCCTTGCCAAAATTCAAAATTCCACGTCCGTCGAGTTTGTATCCATCCTTCGCATCATCTTGTGAACTTGTCCTGAATCCTCTCACGTCCATCCCAAAAAACAGTCTTCCAGATTTGTGCGCCACGCTTTGCTTCCTCCGTCGAGTATAAATATCGGCGTGGGCGTGTATTTGGTGACTGGCTGAGGCCAAAGAAAGTCGGCGAGAGGTTTGATCATTGGAATGAGGATGTACTAGGTCGTGCTTGTAGATTTCATGGGGATTTGGTAGGAATCGGACTCTTTGGGAGTGAAAAAACGACGTGGTGGAGTTATTTGAATTATTGCCTCGTGGGCCAACTTTTTCGGTATTGCGAAATTTGACTGAACTTGGCTCTGGGAGAATATTTCACTCCCAGGTTCGTAGAGGGCACCACTGACAGGTGTTCAGTCTTGCCCTCCCACTGGGTACTCTGTTATTAGGATAAGACTTGTGGCATGATGGAACAATGGAAAGAAGTCATGTAAATAAGGGTTTGGTCTACTAAAGCTGAGCTCTTCACGCTTAGTTTTCTGTCACAACCATCACCTTTGGATTACCTCCAGTTACCTCTTGTACCTTTAGTTACTATTAGTACCCACTCGAACCTTTAGACCTTTTAGCTACCTATATTACACACCTTTCAAACCTTTAGTTCCTCCAAGTTATCTCCAGTAGATCTTCAGTCATCTCTTGCGATCTATCCGACCTCTTCTCGCCCCCCAATTCCGCTTCAGGTCAAACGCCAACGCTCCAATCTGACAATAATGGAGGATAAAGAGTGACAAGGTTGATTGAAAATAACTCAGCGAACCTGAGTATTAGTCTTTCATTGATTTTAGTGATGAAGGCAAAGAACCTTAGTAAACAATTGAAAGTATGTGCAAGATAAAATTACCTTTTTTTTATGGGCAGTATTTCCACCAACATTTGTTCAGGCTCAGTTGAGTAGTTGGGAGACTGGGAAAAGTAGGATGGACTGGTGTACTTGGAAAAGTGGAGAATAGGGGCTGATGCATTGACGCTATTCATGTAGTTGACAACCTTTTCACCTGCCGGGCTCTGTGGGGTATTTATCCAATTAATATCATACTCAACCTCATCAATTAGATGATATTATCAATTGTTGCAATGTGAATCAAGTATTTTAGTAGGGTACCATTATTAATACCAGCTGATATTTCACACCTACTGACACTCATCAGCCATAATGACACCCACTCCGTGTTATGAACCCACTTATGATCTGTTGGAAATATCGCGCGATGAAATGGGCGCAAAATTTATGGAACAAAAGTAGAGACGGACTAAAATGGTGTCATGTTTTAATTTCAGCTAGAAGAGTGGAATTGTGCGCTACAAGTGCAAGTATAAGCCACACAGAGCCTAAGCCACAGCATAAATGAGTGCGGGGCCATGTGGGCATAGAAAACCACCAGTAACCTCCTCGTGAGCATACACTTAATGATTTAAAAAAAAAAAAACCTCCTCGTACCCACGCCGTACAGCAACTCATGTATTTATGGGGTAGTCTGAAGCGCTGCGCTGCTACTCACTACAACCTCCTAAATATGTCCAAGATCGCGGTGGGATCCTAGACTAAATTGAGGGCTCCTACGTCTACAACTGTTACGGCGAGAATCCCGAAGGGTAGAACTCGGTGTCCTCAAAGTTGATAAGTGAGATGCGAGGTTCACGATGGAGATTTGAAGACGTATGAGGAAGTAGAATTTGCTAATGAGTGTAGCATAAGATACCTCAGAAGACCATAATTGAGGATAATACAAATTGCGAAGCTGAAGATCTGGATAAGCCATTTCTTCCGCTTCCCACAATCAGAAGAATGCCTCAGTATAATATCCGGCTCTTCCTTGAACTGTCCATCGCATGAGGGTATCTGATTTAGATTTTCAATCTCCTCAGATGATTAATTTGCTAAATAATGTGTGGGCTACTCCTAGATCCTTAAGTTTCAATCATTTCCGAGCGCCTATACTATTTATTTATCCCAGCATAATTTTCATCGCGCACAAGATTACCACTTTCCGAAGGGTGACTATTCCCAACACCTGTCAGTGGTGTCCCCTACGAACCTCCAGCTCTCACCGTAGAATTTGCAGAACCGAGATTGAGTAACAAAGTCCTCACTTCGACGAGGATTCCCAATCGCTTTCGCGGTCTGTATCGTCTTCATCTCTCAACACATTCCCCTATCACCATTATCATGAAGCTAACCACGATCAGATCAGATGGTAGGATCGGAGCCCTATTCATCACCAACCCTTGATCATGGAGGAAAAGCCATCCGATGAGTTTCCGGAGCGTACCCAGCACCCGATACGGGGATGATGGATTGGATCAAGTGTTGGAAATTATCAAGGATTTCTAGTAAGAAATATCTCGAAGAACAAGTGTACAATTTCGGACAAGAATTTATTGATAGTAGTATAGGATATCGATCTATCTTCTCAATATGAATTAATAATATATAATATTCCGTTAACTTAGTTTTACATATACAGATAAGTCTATCACTAAATGCAGATCCCCAAGGCATTAGTGATCCCGAACTCCCAGTTCTCTAACAACCAGCCACTTCATTATCGCAAGGTAGCATTTCCTAGCCATTGCATTTCAAATACCACTGAACCTCATGTCGCCTGGCAGAATTTCATCATATGCAATCTAATCAATTCAACTAATCTTGATGATCATACCTAGAAATCTAAGCCTTCAAACATAATGAGTCTAGATCCAACATCAATTCGACCTTGACTATTACAGAGAAGAGAGATATAGATGAATATGCGCACCTCATGTGGTCCCGGTGTCTAGGCCTCGCCTGGCTGGGGCTGCAGGTTTTTTGAGACTTTTTCCCGCACACGCAGTTTCTATTGCTACCATTTTATTTTTTTCGTGTAAAAGGTGCCAAAAAAGAGGTGGCCGAACTCCACGGGTAAATACTGAGCGGAATGGCTATTCATCAAGGGGAATATATCAATGATCTTTCAAGTAACAAAAGAGGCAAGGAGCACTGTATGTGTTGTTGTTTTATGAAAGTCCTAAGCTAAAGCTCCAAATCCACTATGAGTACAGGACCAGTGTTCACAGCCAGAACTTCATCTAAGACATACCCAGCTTGATTCCACCGCATAAGCCACCACAAAACCAGCAGTAAGTTAAAAATATGCGCCGACGCAAACTCCTTTTCCCAAAACCGACTTAAGAAAAATACAATTGCAAAGAAATTAGAGCTGAATGCAATATTTCTCACCTCGTTTCCCGTTTAGTCGGGTTTAGTTTCCTGATGAGGTATATTCCATCTCCACTGAGAGCAGGAGATGGATGCACAGGAGAATGTCCAAAACAATTGGTATCCTACGCAAATTGTTTGAAGCTCTCAAAGCACTTACGTCCGAGTACCTTGTGTAGGAAGGCACTGTGCGACAATGACCCTCTAATTCGACGCGTGATGTTTGCGTTGAGTCGACAATGTATGAAGTGGGTAGGGGTTATTTCTATTGTAATTTGTTTGCTAGACCTGGCGGTGTAGCTTATCACAGTTAGAGAGTGTATTCTAGAATGCAGTGGTGGCTCGTTACAGATGCGATTGCGACTATACAATTGAGGGTTGTATGAAAGTTTGGCACTTCTATGGGCCTCAATTGTGTGGAGGTTGATTCAATCATTTGATGATAATTGCTTGTTCTGTCTATCTACAGAGAATGTGCTACAGTTCTATATGTGCCCGTAATCGCTTAGATTTGGCTAGAGGGCTGTCTCCTCTTATACTTCGCTCCCATGATCCATCTCGTGAGATGTAATAACTGCTCATGTTAAATTAACTAGGCTATATAGGAGCAGGACGATGGATACTCTTGGGGAAGTTATGCTCACAGTAGGTCTCTATAATCGCTGTCGCGTGTGTTCTCGTGATAAGTAAGACTTGACTCTATATTCTCGTATAAAGGAAACTTAGTTACAATGAATGGATGGAGGTTGAGACCTCCTTATATCTTGCTCCAGACTTACTATGTTGTTCACAGCCTAGTGCTAGAACATTCTCTTATGATATCATTTCTCTCCTACGAGAAATGAACAGCTCGTTCTCTCTCAGTCTATCAGTCTCTCGCTGATTCCATTATCTCTATTCCATCGAGTTCTAGTTTGGTCCAGTATACCCACACATGCATTACACACTAAACACCCCACGGTTTAGTTCCATAGTCACGTGCATATGCTATGACGCGACCTAAAGCATGTACCATGGTAAGCTACATCGATAACACAACAGCTCACCACAAAGTCCGCAGATTG